CGGGTGCCCCCGTTCCAGCCGCGGCTGAAACTGACCAGCAGCGGCTGAATCGGGGATGCCTGGGGCAGAGCCGGACTATTGGGAGAGGGGACTATGAGAAGTCTGGGGTGGCATCCCCCCCACCCCACCCCAGACTCCTCATAGCCCCACCTTCCAATAGTCTGGCATATCTGATAATCCGGCACCCCCTGGGTCCTAAAGGTGCCGGATTATTGGAAGTTTACTGTATATTGCTCAGATTGTCCAAACTGATGTGTTGCCCTCAGGCTCCTGACCTATTGCACGGTAACCTTCACTTGGCAAAATATAGGTGCCTCTGACAAATGATTTAGCTATTAAAAATCCCATATACTCTAAGTGAAAGGCATCTCAGCTGTTGATACAAATATAAGACATTAAATAAGTTACATAGCTGCATTAAACCAGCTACTTACCTCTGTAATGAAACTTACCATCATTAACTCGATAACATAAGTTGCATTTCCACCTCCTTTGGTCAATGAAGGAAACAAAAGGGTTGATATATGTCCTGCAGGATCTGCACCTCACAATAGTGCTTGATGTTATGACTGGTAATTGCTAAAAAGTGAAATAATGAAAAGCTGTAGCAAAGAGGATTCGAGCAAAAGTTTTAGAGGACAGGATTGTGCAATATCTTAATCTCTGAAAGCTTTATAAAACCAACATATTTTGACAATCAGATTTTTTTATCTCACATCGGTGAGAAGGGAAGGTTACTCACCCTGTGCAGTAACTGGAGTTCTTCGAGATGGTTGTCCCCGTGGGTGCTCCACCTTAGCTGCACCAGCGCCGCTGCGCCCATGGTCGATAGACTTCTGATAGCAGTGCCCCTCCAGTTGGCTGTGCACATGGAGCGCTTGCGTGCGACGCTTGAAACAATCATCCCATGCACACAGCCAACAGCCTACTCAGTTCCTTCTCTGACCCAGAAGCAGATGAAAAGGAGGGGAGGAGGATGGGTGGTAAAGTACCCACGGGGAACCATCTCAAAGAACTCCAGTTACTGCACAGGGTGAGTAACCTTCCCTCCTTCTTCAAGGAGTATCCCCATTGGTGCTCCACCTTAGATGACTACAAAGCAATGTTTGTGCTTGGTGGTGGGCTCTTTGGCAAAGTTGACTTGGTAACTGTGAAAACAGGTCTGTCAAAGCGTGTATCCATGTCTGCAAATGCCTGTATTGCATAATGCTGTGTGAATGTGTGATCTGATCCCCATGTGGCAGCTTTGCAGATGTCCTCTGTTGGGACTCCTCTCAGGAAGGTTGTTGTCATTGCCATTGATCTCATGGAGTGAGCCCTTATGGTTGTCAGGGGTTCTATGTTGAATATGCTATATGCCAGGCATATACAGTCGAAGATCCATTTAGATAGTCTTTGTTTGGATATGGGTAACCCTTTGTCTCATTTGAGGAGAGATCAAGAGTTGCAGAGATTTTCAAAAGGACTCCGTGCACTGGCGCTATTGCCCTACAGACGTCTAGGGTGCGTAGTGCCCTTTCTCTGTCATCCTTATGAGGCTTAGGAAAGAAGGTGGATAAGTATATTGGTTCGTTGCAGTGAAAGGAGGTAAGTACTTTTGGGAGGAATTTAGGGTGGATACAGAGGACCATCTTGTCTTTATGGAACATTGTGTAAGGGGGTTGTGTCATGAGTGCCCCTATCTCACCCACTCTTCTTGCAGAGGTAATTGCAACCAGAAAGGCGACCTTCAATGATAGGTATAATATTAAGCAGATGGCTAATGGCTCAAAAGGTCTCCCCATAAGAGCCCTTAGGACAAGAATGAGGTCCCATGCTGGAGGTAGGTCTCGTTGTGGTGGGAACGTATTTTGTAGACTCCCATGGATAGGTGAGTGAAGGCAGAGAAGCCCTCTATTGAAGGGTGTAATGCCACTATGGTGGGAAGGTGTACCTTACTTAGTTTAGTGATAAACCTGTTTTGTGGAGTTCTAGCAGATAGGTAAGTATTTTTGACATTCCCGTCTCTATTGGAATGCCATTGTGCTTGAAGCACCATAGCTGGAAGTGGTGCCATTTCTGATTGTATGTTTTTCTAGTTGCAGGCCTGTGGCACTTCATGAGGATCTGTTGCACTTCCTCGGGAAAGTCCACCTCTGAAGGCATCAGCCAACCACCATCCATATGTGGAGATGTAGTTTATGTACATCTGGCCATTCTGCTGTGTCAGGACAGACCAAACTGGCAGGAGACTATATGGTAGGCAAATTCTCATCCACAGTAGTTAAGAGTACCAAGTCTGTCTGGGCCACATGGTAACTATCAGTATGACTTTTGCTTTGTCCTGCTTGATTTTCAGGATCGTGTGCTGGATCAGTGGGAATGGTGGGAATGCATAAAGGAAAGGTGCTTCCCACTTTATACTGATTGCATCCCCCAAGGATCGGGGTTCTATGCCCGCTCTTGAACAATAGTACTGGCTATTATAATAGCCAGTTTTGTAATACAGGCAGTCCCCGGGTTACGTCAGTCCGACTTAAGACGGACCCCTAATTACGAACGGGGGCGAAGGAGGAGGGGGCGCAGCTATTGCGGGGTGCCTCCCTCACTGTCGCTGCCTCTGGCGGCACAGGGGACGCTTCCCCCCAGCAGACCAGAGAGACACGGAGCGGCTTTTCTCGCCGCGGAGGATGCGGACAGTGGGACCGCTGAGACGCGCCGCGGTCCCGCCGCCCGCGTCCTCCGCAGCGAGAAAAGCTACTCCGCGTGTCCCTGGGCTGCTGGGCCCCCCCCAGACTTCATAGCCCAGAACCACTTCCTCAGATCAAATAGTGGAAGAAAATTGGCACAACCATATACAGGCAGTCCCCGGGTTACGTACAAGATAGGAACTGTAGGTTTGTTCTTAAAGTGAATCTGTATGTAAGTCGGAACTGCTCTGCAAAGCCAGCCACTGCTGAAACTGAGCAGCGGCTGACTACAGGAAGCCCGAGGCAGAGCTGCTCTGCCCCTGTCAGGAAGATCTGTAATACAAATTGGCAGTTGATCGAATATGTGGTGTGTGTACTTTGCAAGGAGTGCCATGTAGTTTGTAATACTGAGTTGAAGGCTGGCGGACGAGTAGGATGGTCTGCCCATGATGTCCAGGCACTTCCATTTCTTGTCATGTGGGCACATTGTCTGCAGCTTGCCCTTTTGGTTAGCTGCTTTGACCACTAAGGAATTTGATGTGTGGTGTGAGAATAGGAATTCTGCTTCTTTTGGGGCCACATAGTATTTTTTAATCACATCTTTTATCAGTGGGTGGAACTGTAACTGGCATCTGCCACAGGGTTTTAGTTGGGTCCATCAGTGCTTCATTGATGGGGATTGCTAGCTTAGCCTGTGGTGAGGTATGAAATATGTTTGTGAGCTTGTGCTGGGTCTTGGGCATATCTAGCATTGATATGTCCAATGTGACTGCCACCCTCTTAAAAAGCTCCTGGAAGGACCTGAAATCATCTCCTGCATTGGATGGTGGAGGCATGATTGTGTCCTTGGGTGACAAGGATATGAGGTGCTCCTTTGGTGGTGAGCTCATTGTTCTTTCTGACTCTGTGACATCCATTCCCCCCTCTTTCTCTGAGAATACGGAGTGGTCAGGGGATTGTCTGGGGACGACCTGAGTCTGGGAAGCTTGAGGCACCTGGGGTGGGGGGTAGGAGTCTATAAGCCACCTCTGGGTCCCAGTATAGCCAGCTGAGTGGCATGGGTAGTAGGAGCCATTGGGATTGTTGCCACTGCTGCCCTTGTAGCGGTTTGGGCAACAAGGCTGTGGGAGCATCATCATCCTCATCGCTCAGTAGCGGGGGCATCAAGACAGATGAGGAAGAGACTGAGCATTGGAGAATTTTAGGGTGCCATCACCACCCAATAGAGGTGTCCAATGCCACCGTCAGCTCTGCTGCTTAAGTCAACTAATGCAGCTGTAGTGGCGAGAGCAGCATGTGCCCCCTGTGATGCATGAGGTATTAGTGCTAGCACTGTTATCGATGCCAGTGCCATGTGCCTCTTTTGCATCATTCTCTAGCAGCATCATTTTAAGCTGAAGCTCTCTGGCTTTTCTAGTCCTGCTGGTCAATTTCAGGCAGTGTTTGCACTGCTGTGTATTGTGTTGTTGAGCAAGGCAGCTGACACAGTGACAATGTCAGTCAGAAATGGAAATGGAGACCCTGCAGGATTCATACTTTCTGAATCCTGAGGAACCAAGTATGTCCTATTAAAAGTCCCTTGAGGCAGACTCTTCTCATAAAGACCACGGTTCTGTGCCAGAGTTAAAGAGCCACAGCTTCTGGGAAGCGGAGGGGAAAGTTCCTCTTTCTCGCTCTCTCTTTTTTTCCCTCAAAAAAACCAAAAAACGTGGAAACCTAGCTAAGCTAAGGAAAAACCTTTGGATACTAACAGCTAACACTAAACTATAGGCTGAGGTAAAACTAGAGCAACTGTTCTGCTGCTACTAAAGCTGGCGGCATTGCTCCCAGGAAGACCGTTCCAAGCATCACGTGCCAGCGCTACCTGTGCACAGCCAGAGGAGCACTGCTATCAGAAATCTGCCAACCATGGGTGCAGCGGCTCTGGCAGACCTAAATGCGGAGCACTCGCGGGGACATTCCTCGAAGAAGAATTCTGAGTAATGTCACTGAACTCTATTATGTTGTATTTGTTTACAAAATGTTGGAGAGAACAATCTGTTCTGATCATGGCCAGTGTTCCCTCTAAGATTTTACAACCATGAGCTAAGTGAGTTTTGGCTAGTGTACCAATATCGATATCATGTGTGCTGGTTTTGTGGCATCCCCCTCTCCCTCTCCCTCTCTCTCGAGCAGAACCTCCCCCCACCTCCCGCCATGTAATATGTCCCATTTGCAGCCATCAGAGCACACCCTGCCCCCACCATGGCCATGTGGCAGGGCCCATTCCCCCCCCCAGC